ATCCTTTTGGGGGCCGTCTTGGGACGCTTTGGGGTCGTCTTGGGGCCCTCGGGGTTTCTTGAAAGCTTCGCGTCGGGGGGGTCTGCGACGGACCGCCGACAGAGTGGAGGCCCACAGGGATTTCAGATAGATTTTGACCAGGCAAGGGCGAATCCTACCAGGCACTTTGTCAGAGTGGCCTCGCACGGCCCAGCCCGCGGGAGCGGTCGGCGGCGCGTCACCAGCCGCTCCCTGGGAGTTTGACGCTTTTGGTCGGTATTCTTGTGGAGGCAGTGTTGAAGCATCGTTGGGGGCTCTTGGGCGCCGTTGGGGAGCCTCTTTCGACATCAGTTGGGCCTCTCGGGGGCTTCTTGGAGGCTTGCTGGCGGTCTGGGAGGCTTCGTTTGGGCAGAAAGCTGGAACTGTCATTTCGAGCTCTGGCTCCAAGGCACTCCTGGGGCCATCATGGGCCGTTTTCGGCGCGTCTTGAGCGGTCTTGGGGCCGTCTTGGCACAGCTTGGGGCCCTCTTCGGGGTCTCTGGGGCGATCTTGGGGCGATCTCGGGGGTTTGTACTCTCGTCGTGGACACTCTGAGGGCCCAAAAGTCGCACACGCTCAAATGCACGCTTTCCTAAAGGAATGGGACGCATTTTGCTTGGTGGGGCCGTGTGGGAAAGCCTCTGGAGGCTCTCTTCTGGCGTTTTCGGAGCTTCGTGGGCCGTCTCGCGGCTATGTTGGCGTCCTGGAGCGATCTGTCGCTGACTCGGAGCTCTTTCGAACAGTCCTTGGGGCCGTGTGGGGGCTCTCGTAAGTCGTCTTTGGGCCCTGCATCCGTCGACGTCAGGGGGATCTTGGGCGATCTTGGGCGCCTCTAAGGCCGTCGTGGACGCCCAGAACCCCCAAAGTCGCACATGCCAGAAGCAAACGCTTGCCCATTGGAATAATACAATGTTTGCCATTCGGGGCCTTCCTGGAAGGCCTCTTGGAGCCCACTTGGGGCGTCTTGGGGGCCACGTGGACCGTCTCAAGGCCATCTTGGGCGTCTTGGGGCGGTCTGTCGGCGACGTGGCGCCTGCTTGGACCTTTTTGGGGCCCCTCTAGTTGCCTCTTGGGGCCGTCTTCGGCCGTCTTGGGCGCCTCTTGGGCCGTCTTTGGGTGCTTATTGGGCCTCTGGGTACATATTCGGGCGATCTTGGCGCCTCTAGGGCCGTCGTGGACGTCGCACATGCTAGAAGTATACGTTTCCCCATAGGAATGGGACGACTTGTTGCCTTTCAGGGTCTTCCTGGAAGGCGTCTTGAAGCCCTCTTGGGGCGTCTTGGGGGCCACGTGGACCGTCTCAAGGCCATCTTGGGCGTCTTGGGGCGGTGCGTCGGCGACGTGGAGCCTGCTTGGACCCTTTTGGGGGCCGTCTTGGGACGCTTTGGGGTCGTCTCGGGGCCCTCGGGGTTTCTTGAAAGCTTCGCGTCGGGGGGGTCTGCGACGGACCGCCGACAGAGTGGAGGCCCACAGGAGGGACTTCGGGGAGATTTTGACCAGGCCAAGGTGACTCCTACCAGGCACTTTGTCAGGGTGGTCTCGCACGGCCCAACCCGCAGGGCCACACCCGCGGGAGCGGCTGGATCGAGGACGCCGGCGGCGCATCACCGGCCGCTCCCTGGGAGTTTGCCGAAGATCGCGCAGCATCGAAAGTCGTGACGTGGCGCGGCCCATCCCGCCACCGTGCTTGGGTTTTGGGTCGGAGTCCTCGTGGACGCTTCTTGGGGTCTCGAGAGGGCTCTTGGGGCCTCTGCGGGGGAGTTTAGGGCCTCTTGAGGGCCTCCTGGGGGCTTCTTGTGAGCCTCTTGGGGGCCTCTTGGGGCCTTTGGGGGCTCTCTTGGAGCCTCTTGGGGGCCTCCTGGGGGCCTCTAAGAGCCCCCTGGGGGCCTCTTGGGATCGAAAGCTCAAAATGTTCATTCGGGTTCCCCTTCTGAGCGCCCTCTTGGGGCCGTCCTGGGGCCTCCCTTAGGCCGTTCTGGGTGCCTCTTGGGCCGTCTTGGGGCCCTCTTGCGCCGTCTTGGAGCCCTCTTGGGGGCTTGTTGGGCCGTCCTGGGGCGATCTTGGAGGCCTCTTGGGCCGTCTTGGAGCGTGGGTAAGCCGAAATGGCGAGAACGCGAAAATCCTTCAAAAACCATTGAAAAATCAATGATTTTTGCATGTTGGGGCTCTCTTGGGGGTGCTCTTGGAGGCCTCTTGGGCCGTCTTGGAAGCGTCTTGGGCCGTCTGGAGGCTATCTTTGGCGTCTTGGAGCGATCTGGAGCCGTCTGGAGGCTCTCTTGGACTGCTCGGGACTCTCTAGGACCGGCTTGGGGCGCCCTTGGGTCGTCCCCGGGACGTTTGAGACCTTGAAGGGGGGGGGGGGCGGCGGGGGGCCGGCGGCAGAGTGGGGCCCCCTCGGAGGGACTTTCAGGAGGTTTTTGACCAGGCACTGGAGAAGGGGGCCAAAGACTGTGCCAAACACTCTGTCAGAGAGGTCTCGCACGGCCCACACCGCAGGGCGGGAGCGGCCGGATCTTATGGGCTTTGCCCTCTGCGGGCGGCAGGCGGCGGCGCGGAGGTCTCCTTGGGGCTCTTTGGGGGCCTCTTGGGGGTCTCCTCGGGGCTCCCTTGGGGCCTCTTCGCGGTCTCCTTGGGGCCTCTTGGGAAGAATATTTTGAGCCTCTTTGGGGTCTCCTTGGGGCCTCTTGGGGGCTTCTTGGGGCGTCTGGGGACCTTTTTGGGGCCTCCTGGGGCCCTCTCGGAGCGGAAAGGTCGAGTTCTCGATTCGTGGACTCCCTCTTAGGCCTCTTGGGACCGTCTTAGGGCCCTTTTGGGCCGTCTGGGGCGTCTCTTGGACCGTCTTGGGGCCCTCTTTGGCCGTCTTGGGGCCGACTTCGGGGCCTCTTGGGCCGTCATGGGGGCTTATAGGGCCTTCTTGGTCCGTCTCGGAGCGTATAGCCGAAAAAGGCGAGAAGGCCAAAAGCCTTCAAACATTGTTAGAGGAAATCGTTGATGTTTGCTTCGTGGGGCCCTCTTGGGAGGCCTCTTGGAGGCCTCTTGGGCAGTCTTGAGAGCATCTTGGGTCGTCTTGGGGCCATCGTGGGACATCTTGGGGCCATCTTGGGCCGTCTTGGCCTCCTGAGGCTCTCTTCGGAGCCTTGTCGGGCAATCTTGGAGGCCTCTCGGGCCGTTCTAGCCGCGCGGTGGCGTGACCATGAGAATTCTGGGGTGGCCCGGAGCAGCCTGGATTTGAGGTTCCTCCCCCCTCGTTGGCTGTTTGGTGACGCGGCGGGACCCCTTAGCAGACAGTAGCCAGGAGGCAGGAAACATGAATGGAGAGACAACAGGCCAAACAACAAATTACCAAATAGCACATGGCAGCATATCGCACACAACTTCGTAGCCTTGCGCCCCCGGAGGGGGCTGGTGGATATATATATATATATATATATATATATATATATATTCACACACATATATATATACAGAGAGAGATATGCGTATGTAGAAATACATATGTATGCATGCCTGTATGCATGTCGATAGACGTGTGACTATATATATGTATATCGCCCCACGTCTGAATGCCTTTGAATTTATATGTCTGCACAGGTGTTCGGCCTAGCTTGACGGGAACACATCTATATATATAACATATATATAGACATATCTATACATACATACACATACACATATTTATATATGTATCCATGCGCGTATGTATATACATATATATATATATGTATGTGTGTGTAGTTGTATGTGAACACATATGTGTCTATACATATACATACAGATGTTTAGAGCTTACTTGCGCATCGCAGCGTGGAAGGTGCCACGCGGTCTTGCCTGCGTAGCTGAAGTGAAGTTCCGCGGTGCGTATCGAGCTCCCACACCTGAATAGTAACATGCGCTCGTTCACATCAACGGCGCCAATCTGGTCCTCAATTGGAGGGCGGGCGCCCGTCGGCTCTCGCACTCCTCCCTTCCCCAGGGAAATTCTTAAGACTCGTTCTGCGTTGTTGCCACCCCCCGGTTGCAACAACAATCATTGCAATATTGGTCGCGCTTCTCTGCTCGCGTGTCATCCAACATGTACAGTGGGGGCGCGCATCAAGAAACCATAGCTTTTAGTCAGGGTATCCTGGGTTTCTTCTCTCCTCGCGCTGCGCGGTGACTTCGTGCAGCCGTTGAAGGAGCTGCTGCGTTCAGGGTGCTCCAGGTTTCCCCTCAGGTGCACCTCGCGCGCGGGTTCTCAGGGTTGGGTTTCTTGCGATGGTTTCTTGCGGCCGCGCCCGCCCTGTACACTCTGAGCGCTCGACTCCCGCACTCTTCGTTTGTGAACGTCCCCGTGCACTTGCTCCTCTCGTGCCAGCTCCTGGGGTAAACCCCGTCAGTGCACCACAAGCGGGCGGGTCTGCCGGCGGACCCTGATGTGCGGGTCCGGCGGGCGAGGCATGACGTGCGGGTCGGGCGGGCGGGGCATGGAAGCGGTCGGGCGGTCTTCCAAGCCATCCAGCCAGTGTTCAGTCGGGCGTGTCCTTCTGCAGGGGGAATGTTCAAGAGCAGTAAACAAACAGTCTGGGGACGATGTTTTAAGATACATTCTGAGTATTGGGGGGTGTTTTTTGACTATTTTTTTATTTTTCGTCCAAAATCCCCCTGCACGGGGACACGCCCGACTTAAAGCCAGTGGGCCCTGACAGGTGGGTCGGGCGAGCGGCCTCTGACTTTAGCGGGCCAGGAGGACGGAGCCTATCGGACGGGTCGGGCGGGCAGGACATCGAATGATGGGTTTATCCTTTTTTTGCTGAGCAAGTCTCAGGCGAGAGCGCGGTTCCTAAGACTGCCAAGACGTCCTGGGCGAAAGCACGATTCCAGGGCGGCGGGGGCGCGAATCTGAAATAAGCGCAACGGGCAAGATTCACGCAAGATCACGGTTCATTGCACTCACCTTCAGCAGGGTATGACGCCGCTTCCCGAGCGAAATGGGGCCAGTGCAGGCTGTCCCGGCGTGGGCGGAGCAGTCCACGCGCTTCAAGGCCGAGTGGGCTGCCGACGAGGCTGTGTCCTTCTTCAACACCTTCAGCGAGGACGACCGTCCTCCTTCCAGGTCTGGGCATCGCAAGCGAAACGCGTGCCTTCCAGCTTTTCCGTTGTTTTGTGATCGGGGCGGTGGTTTTCGGACCGCTCATTCAGTTAATGCCCGGGAACGTGATCGCGGCCGTGGCCAAACAGTTGTTTGGTCATGTGGCGGTTTTATAGTAGCACGATGGCCATACGCAGGCCGCACAGCGGGCGCACGATGGGGTGAAGATCGCCAGGTGCACACGGTACGCACAAACACATCACGTCGCAGGAGACGTTGGCCGCCTCTCCATGCGACCGCCTTGGGCGACGCGCCTCCTTGGGCGCCCCCCGCCAGCGAAAGTCCATCGATTCATCCTCTCTCGGTTTCCCCTTCGTGTGGTCTTGCCCCTCATCCTCGCCTTCCCAACCTCGTCCTCTTTTCCTCCTTCCTCGCCTGCTCCTTTTCCTGATCCCCCCCTCCCCCCCACACCCACCCACACCCCCCTCCGCCCCGCCCTTCCTCCCTCTCCCCTCTTCCCTCCTCCTCCTCCTCCTCCTCCTCCTCTCCCGCCTCCTACGCTGGGCTCCTTCTCCTCTTCCTCCTCCTCCTCCTCCTCCTCCTCCTCGTTCTCCTCCTCCTTCCCCACTGCCCCTTATCTTCGGCGGCCACCATGAGCGTCCGCACAACATAGGTTTG